GCTACGCCCCCCCAGACCCCCCCGATAAGTTACAACTCCCCTCATAGACCAAGAGGCACGCACTGCGTTGGCGCGTTTTCGTTCATGTGCGCACTCTTCATGCACATGCATAGATAGTTCTGGCACTGTTTGTGAACAAAAAGTAAATCCGCGTGAATGCGCTGTGTCTGAGCCCGCTTGGCACTGCGAGCGCTCGGGTTGGGCGCCTCGCCGCATTCGTTGTTGTCGAGCTGATTGGGTGACAGCTTGCGCTCATGCTGATCACAACCGCCATGGAAGGCGGGGGTAATGGCGCCCGTGTCATCGGTCGCCGCTGGCAGCAACACCATTGCCGATGCATTACCGACAACAGCACCGCCGTCCCAAACGCCTTTATCAGGAAACATTTCAGGCTTATCTTGCTGTTTTGGTGTCTGTTCGGCGTTCAAGTCGTTGCCTTTTGCGTGTTTGGCTATGTAAGGACCGGTCATACATTCTGCTATGCCACGTTGACTCACGGGCTTGACCTTCTTACGGCCCCTCATATCTATTCTATGATCGATAATACTAAGTTCTGCACACTACGGAGCAATCTGGCAGCAATGGACGCTGCGGCCTGCTTCTGCGGCGGCCGCGGATGTACAGACATTGGATACAGACATCTCGCCATCCTACACTGGAGCACTGCCGCAACGACATTTTGGATGGACATTCTGGAGCTGGATGGCAGGCAGGGTCCGTGTCCCTTGTGGCTGGGCTTGCGCCATGCATATGCAGCGGCATGCAGCCGTGGCGTGTAGCTAGCTGGCGAGGTGGTGGCACAGACTGCCTGCACCGTTTCGGGAGGCGGAGGTGCTGAACATCGTGTGGCGGGGTGTCGAGCGCTGCTGTGCTGTGGAGACGATGAATGGGGTAATGGATGGGCAGTGGAGAACTGGTAAAGGCACCCATGTCAGGTTCTCACCGTGCAAAGCCATAGAAAAACTGGCTTACTCCATACACAGGATTCAGTTGTTTTGAATTCATCGGAGTTGTGTGTATTTCTGTATGTAATGGAACATGTCTGTACGTGGGAATCAATCCTACACGACAGAATCCGCCCGTGCAGAATCCGCCCGTGTCCTAGTCCCATTTCTCCACAACGAACAATCCACAGATAGTGCAGGGTACAACATCACCTTATCCCACAGCAACCATCGATCTTTTTGATCTCCCAAGGAATGCATTCTGCAATGCATTGTAATTTACAGGCTGTAAAGAGCTATTGCACAAATGACGCATTCTTTTCTGAATGTTTCTGAACGCCACCAGCCCAGCCATTCGCCCAACCTCAAATCGCTCCGGTGACACCGATAATCCTCACCTCACTGCGTGTTCAAAATCGCTACCCACCATCGCCACAACGGATTGAAAGCAACTTGCAACGACACCGGAGGAATGTCCACTTGACACCGGACTTGACGAAGATCGAGCTGCTGCTGTATGTAACACGCCACGAAAGCGGAGGGCGCGCCAGGCCGTAGCTGAAACCTCACATCCACGTCCCACCCACAAGAGTGTACAAAGCATCCATCCATCCATGAGGCAGTACATGGCTGCAGTGCCTTCGGCATGGGTGCAGTAGTCTCGCGCGAATAGTATCAACCCATGCACAACGCCATTCGTGCTGTTGGCGTTGTTTCATGATCATATGCACCATACGACCACTGAATGTTAAAAATGGCGCCAATAGCGCAACTTCCAAGCTTCGGTCAACGATCACCCACCCAGCTCTGTCACAATACAAGTAGACTCCCGTTCCAAATCCTCCTCCATACGACCATTTTACAAGTGACTCGAGTAACCAAGGCGGTCTTTAACGCCCATCATTTTTTCGTCTTTGAAGAATATGGAGACCAATAGTCACCCAGCGCAACTCCAACCACCCCGCACTGCCCGCAGCGCTGCCTACTGGCGCTCCAGCTGCACGGCGGGATCATGCTGGTCGTGGCCATGGTGCTGGTGGTGCGCCGGCAGCAGGGCCCCAAGGCCCAGGTGCCGCAGCGCGCTGCCCACCCAGCCGTCCATTAGCCAACAGGTCCAGCTAGTGGAGTGGGAGTCGGCCAGACTGCCCTCAACCGGCGGAGGCGGGCACAGGCCGGTCTGCGCGCACACCGCGTCCGGCACCAGGTACTGCTCCAGCAGCGTGAACACGGGGCATACATGTCCACGTAGGCCTGTGTGCGGCACAACACAGCATGATGACACTGATGGCGTGGCGATGATGCGGAGTATAGTGCGGAGTACAGTGCTCATGTAGCTGATTGCCGCTCCCTACTGGGTGCGGCAGTCCCCATAGTGTTAGGTCGTATAGAGGTCGCGTGGAGGAGCGCATGTCTGATGCACGTATATGTCTGTGCTGTAACACCTCCCGGTGCCTCTGTATGTCTGTATGTGTGTCCGTATTCACTGGGAGAGCGTGCGAGTGATGATACCGACCGCGGTGCGCCCCGTGGTCCGCCGCTGTTTGATATTCAGCTAGTGTGTGCGCTGGTTAGCTGGTCTTGCCCCTCGAAGTACGTTACGCGAAGTTATTGTCGTATTTAGAGCAGGGAAGAACTCGCGGAGTGATGGCTTGTTTCCCCTCGCCGCCACAGTACAGTGTATCCTCCTCCTCCCCCTCCTCCTCCCCCTCCTCCTCCTCCACGTGACGTCCTCAGGTCCTCCTTCATTGTAGCCCCAAAGGAGGCTCATTTAGCCGCGCGCGTGAATTCTAGGGCTCTGCGCAAACTGCTCCCTCCCAGTAGCTATGGGCACCACCCAGATGATGTTGCCGCGATGGCCGTCGGTTGTGTGGAGGGCTGGGAGGCATGCGGGAAGTCAACAACCACTTCTCAGGCAAGTATGCTATGATGAATATGATGTGAAAAGACATTATGACGTGCACAGCTCGAGATTGTCCTTCAAATGCCGTACATGAGTGTTCATCGGCAGCAGTCGGTGTGTTGTACGGTCAGCTGCAGGAAAAGCGGAAAACCCAAATGCGTGTTTTTCCTGTGTTGTGTTGTGGTTCTCTCCCTCCTGCTGCTAAAGTTAGTGTTGCGGTGTCACCCATCTGTATGTATATACATCACCAGCCACCCGCCCCGGTATGAAGTCCTAATGTGGAAGGAGGATGTGGGCGGTAGGGTAGGGTGGTGCGGATCGCCTTCTTGTAACGAACTGGTGTGCCGAGAGAGCTCTACAGTGCGAGGGGGCTGTGCGCGGGTGCCGCCGCTGCGGCCGCCGCCACAGATGTAGGAAAGTGGCTAAGATTGCTGGGGAGGAAGGACGCGGCGAAATGTTTTGTGTTTTACAGTGTCCCCTGGTCGCCCTGATGAAGCTTTATTGGTTCTGATGAAGCCGAAGGTCCGTCTCCTTCAACGAATCGTGGAAGATGGATTGCTCAAAACGACGTCTAGAGCGGTCTACCTTATCTATGCATCAAACCATTCTTATCCATCTATATGTCGAAATTCGAAAACCACGTGCACTCGCGACTCACAGCAGCACAGACATGATATCATATCACCGCAGAATGATCCGAAAAGTAAATTTTATTATTCGTAATGCAGTCCTCCTATGCTGTGGGGGCGATTGACACCTAACCCTCCCACCCTACCTACCTACCTACCGAGCGACGGTGGTCACCGCCTCCTGGGACATCACCACGGCCTCCCACACCCAGAATGTAGATGTATGTATGTGTGTGTGCGGAGGTGTGTAGCCGCTCCTCCCGCCGGACGCCCGTTGACTTCTTAACCTCCCGGCCTCCACGGCAGCCTCATGCAAAGTACTGCAACATCCCCGATATGCTCACTGCGCGCCTCTAGCCGGGCGCCTGGCGCCCAGCCATGATCCTTTCGTGAGCAAGTATGTCACTTTGGCGGAGGTGGTAGAATTGTGACTTCTGACTTGACGCAGTTCACGTTGCTTACTCTGCGATCTTTGTGTTTGGTACGAACGCTGGACTGACCTCCCGCCATCCGCAGTCCTTACATATATAGATACATACGTAATATCTCCTCAGTCTGTAATACTTATAAAGATGTCGTACATACACCGTGCTCCCTGAAACCTTCGTCCCCTCTTCGTGTCGACCGGGAGCCACCCGGGGACCCGCCGGGGGGCTGGGCAGCACCACTGCTGTGCGCCGCACAGTACACAGCAGGGGGCAGGGACCCTGCGCCTGAGCACCGCCTAGAAAATGGTAGTGAATGAAGTTCGATATCCTTGCTGCGCTGTGTGTGTTTGCCTCAAATCCATCTTGTTGATTCTTTGGTCTCTACCATCGCCCGCCTATTTCAGTTTAGGTTCGAAGAGAGCGCCCTCTCTCTCTCTCAAAGCCCGTCAACCGCAACACGTCCCACACACGTCCCACTCCCTAACTCGTTACTCCCACACCACAACTGTCGACGTCGGCGCTTCATCCTTCATTCTCCCTTAGCGGCGCCCGCCAAACAGGAAGCTCATAAAACGTCCTCGCGTCGGCTGCTGTGTTGCTACCTGTGCCGACGGCATACCACCACCACCACCGCCGCCGCCACCACCGCCATTATTGTAGCTGTACCCGGCAGACTGTGCAGGCACTGCCGCCGCTGCCACCGAGCCGCCGGCCCCCCAGCCGCCTCTCGCCGCATCCGCCAGCGCCACGTCCATCCATCTCGCCCTGGCCAGCAGCCAGCTCCGCAGCTGCGCCACCTCGTAGCTCCACTGCTCCTGATGGGAGCGGAAGAAGGGCGAGCTGCGGATGGAAGACCACCGACTGCGTGAGGGGGACGGGGAGGGGGAGGGGGAGGGGGAGGGGGGCGGGCAATACGCGGGGGCCGGGTGGGGTGGGTGGGCCGAGGTTGGGAAGTCCAGGGCCAGTCATGCAGAAACAAACATGCAGAGGCGTACATGCATACACATGTATACAGACAGACAGACAGACGGACGGACAGACGGACAGACAGACAGACAGACATACACCCACTTGTAGTCCCGGAGGGCTGCATCCCGGATGAGGTTGGTCTGCACGTCCACCATGCTGCCCAGTATGGCATCACTCAGAGCTCCTCCCCGCAGCTGTTGCCACCGCTGACCCGTGGACATGCGGTGCGAGGAATCCTGACATACATACAGGCGGGCGGAGGGACAGAGAAGGGAGGAAGGGTTTCAGACGGAAGGCGGGACGTGGGAGGGCCCTGTTCGGGAGGGACGCGGAAGGGATACCCAACCGTGCGATACCTAATTCAAACCTTACACACACACACACACACACACACACACACACACACACACACACACACACACACACACACACACACACACACACACACACACACCACACCCCTCAGGCTGCCACCCACCCACCCACCCACCCGCCAGACCGAACGGAAGTACTGGGACGTGCCGTCCACCGGATCCGCCCGGCACCTGCGGGGGGTGCGCCGTGTCGGGTGGGTGGGGGGGTGGGGGTGGGGGTGGGTGGTTTGACAATTATTGGTGGAGTTCTTATAACTCCAATTACCCTTGGTAAATACATACATACGTACATAAATACGGTACATCCGCGAGGCATGAGGCAGTGAGAGGAACACATCAGACCTGTACAGCAGCTGTAGTACAGGTACAGGTGCGTATGTAAGTAATGGGCCACCCTATTTCCATAAAGGCCGAGGGAGCCACCAGACGAGCTGCAGGAGGAGGTCAGCAGCGGTAAACACACACGGCCATGTGTACACCCACATGCGCTGTCCTGCCCCCCCGTGGAGCACCCACCTCTCCTGCTGGTCGCATATGTTGAACCTCCAGCCCTCCGGACTGATGGCGCTGCCGCCGCTGCTGCCGCTGCTGACGCCGTTGCTGTGTGTGCGGATGGGTGGGTGGGCAGGAGGTGCGATGATGAGGTTGGGATGGGTGCTGGGTGTGCGAGGTGTGTGCGGGCAGAGTGCCAGCCTCGCAATGGCGTTGTGATACCAGTTGTTGACCCGACGACAACGGCACGGCGCCACGGAGGAGGGCAAGGGGCCCCGGGCGGGAGGCGAGGATGAGGTGAAGGCACGTATTCCCCCATGTCATGGGATATGGCAAAAGAAGGAGAGAGGCGGAGAAGCGACATACAGACACACGAGTGATGTTGACGCAGTGTCCAGCTGGAGGTAGAAGGTAGGGACCCCGGCCCCACTACCATCCCTGGCCCTGGCAGCAGCAGCTTTAAGTGCACCATTTGGATGTGGTGTTGAGGACCCGTCAAAGTACAGTCCCCCGACAGCCCCCGGACTAACTGACTTGTTGAAGCCCTCGATGGGGTAGCCGCAACACACTCCGAAAGCCTCGTTGTAGTCCTAAGTGAGTGGGGTTGAGGGGGGTGGGGTTGAGGGGGGTGGGGTTGGGAGGGGTGGGGTTGAGGGGGGTGGGGTTGGGGGGGGTGGGGTTGAGGGGGGTGGGTAGCGGCAAAATAGGAGGACGACAGCGTAGGTCAGAAGTACTACCGCTACCAAAGCAATAAGGGAAACAGACAACAAGACCCGCGACCCAGCCCCAGCATAAAGGAGCTCAACGAGGTTATGTGTGCTCCAGGACGCATGTAACAGGACGAATAGCGTGCCGTGCTACCGTACTGCCGTACNCAAGGCGGTCCAAATACAATGGGCGAGCCGGCATTCTTGCTCATGTAGACGGAGCCCCGGTAGCCATCCGGGTTCTTGGATAGCTCCGTGACCAGGAAGTAGTCCACGAAGGAGCCAACCTGCCGACAATGATTGTTATTGACGGGGGGAAAGGATTCATACGATCCATTCACACGACCGGGTATTGTCAAACTATGACGGATGCGATGATGGTAGAGGACGGCCAGAAGCTGAAGTTGGCGAACCTTCTTTACCCACATTACCGAACCCATGCTCGTTACATTACCCGCTAAGGAGGGTCATCTCAACCAGCGGGTAGTACGGCGCACTGCTACGGCATAACAGTCTGGATAGTTCGGCTGTGGGCCCCCTAGGTTACACCTTTGGAGAGTAACGCAACTACTCAAGGTACAACACACACATAAGCATATACACACACAAACACGCCCATCCACCCCCTGCTGCGTTACCTCTTCATAGGTTCCCTCCCCCCCCCCAGTGCACAAGGTCGTTACCTCGATGAAATCCCGCCAACCGCCGCTGCCAGCAGGCGGCGGGCCGCCTGGGCCCCCAACTACCGCAGCCGTTGTCGGACCGTACGGGCCGTTGGGGAAACCCACAGTAAGGCCCTACAGAGCACATGCAGGCAGCACGTGCGGCGGTTAACACGTGGTCGTGGTCCTCATCGGTCCGCCTGGTGCCAGACATCCACGTGACCCTAAGCCCAGACCACCCTCCAGAACCCCCGAACCCAATTCCCAACCACCTAATCCAGAGCTCACCTCACCTCACCTCACCCCGCCCCAGAGGGAAACGTCCCCCAGCCCTCCTTCCCCTTTTTCCCCCGGCC